GCCACCCCCTGCCACGGGCAGGGACACCTTCCAAAGCCCAGGGTGCTCCAAGCCTCATCCAGCCTGGCCTTGGACACTTCCTCTCTGGGGAGAAGGAGCCTGGGATCCTCCGGATCCTCGCCCAGCGCAGGCAGGGCTGCCTTTGGCGTTAGTTTTTGGGAAGGGTCGCTGTTGGGTGCTGCCAGACCCGCACTCCCCGTCCGCAGCCGCTGTTGTGCGGTGAGGGATGTAAAACGGAGTTGGGGGTGAATTTAGGGATTTGCCACGTCGGAAACCCGCTCGTGTCCGGGGCCCCGTCAGCCTGAGATTCCTCCTGTGGAAAAACGATGGGCTGGGATCGCAGGAAAACGCTCCCAACTGCTTTTCTTGCTTCCCTAAGGGCAGCCGGGCTGTTTTTGGCCCTGCTCCTGCCCCTCGCCGAGTCCGGGGCTGCTGGGGAACAGGGATGTTGGCAGCGGGCCGCTCCCTCGGCTGCGCATCCTCTCCGCATTCCCTGTTGCTCTCGAGGGCGTTCGCAGCGCCGTCGCGTTCCTGCCGCCGCGGCCGGAACGCAGGGGTCATTGATTGAAAAGACCCCTTGGGGTCGATGCCGAGCGGTCCGTGTCCTGCCGTAGGTGACGTGCGTGGAGAAGACGGGCAACGACGAGAAGATGCTCATCAAGATCTTCCGGTGCCTGGGGAGCTGGTTCAACCTGGGCGTCCTGGACAGCACCTTCATGGCCAACAGCAAGTTGCTGTCGCTCCTCTTCGAGGTGCTGGTGAGTATTTCCCTCGGGAAGCGAGGGCGGTGGCGGGCATCGGATTCCGGGATGGCGTCGGGTGAAACGCGGGAGCGACGCTGCTCGGTGCCGCGGCGGGAGGAGTTTCATCCCACCCGCCCCGCGTGGGGATGCTCCAGTCCTCCCCTGGCTGTTCCTCTGGGAAGAGCGAGCTCTCCGCGCGCGGTAAGGGATTTGTGCTGCCGGGATTTTCCTTTTGGAGCGGTTGTCCGCCTCGGAGGAGAGATGGAGAGCAGCAGCGCAGCGCACACATCCCCACGCCTCTTCCCGGCCTCCTGGGAAACGACGGGAACGGCACATGGTGCCAAATGCCGGCTGATCTCCGGGGAGCAACCGGAAGTGACGCTTAAGGCTAACCTCGGTCCATGGGCCTGGCCCGTAGTTCGGGATTTGGGATGCGGGGACAAAGACTGAGGGACAAAACGTGTCGGCAGAGCTTTCGGATGCAACCACCCACATGTGTGTGTGGCTCTTTGGGTGGAGGAAGAGACTCGGGGCTCCTGCGGAATTATTCTTGCCCGCCCAGCTCCTGTTTTGCCCTGGAAAACACATTTTGGGAGGTGAGCGCCATTCCCTGGTCTCGGATGGGCTGGAAAGGCCCTGAAATCCCTCTGGAGCAGATGCCCTCGCCCAGTTTTCTGGCAGCCCCTCTCC